TTCATTACCTTCCAATTATAGACCAATATCACTCATTAGTTGTAGAGGTAAAATCATAGAACGTGTTATAAATAAACATGTTTTCAACCACTTACAAAGAAATAAATAAATAGATAAATATAAATTTGGTTTTCTCCCTAAATACTCAACGGTTCATTAACTATTAGAAATATATAGCTGTATCCTGAGCTCGCTTGAAAAAAAAACCAGATTAGTTGTTTTGTTTTTTGCGATTTTTCAAAAGCCTTTGATAAAGTTTGGCATGATGGACTTGTACATAAAATGAAGGCTATGCAGGGTTGTATAAGTACCCTGCCACGTCCGGTCTGTGTTTTTGTTAGGTGCATTTCTGCTTTGTGTCGATCTGATGAGTTAGTTTTACATTTGTCATTTCGGGGTCTTTTATAGCTGACTATGCGGTATGGGTTTTGCTCATTTTTGAAGGCCGTACGGTGACATATATAGTTGTTCATTTCTATGTCATTTGGTCCATTGTGGTGAGTTGTCTCATTGGCAATCATACCACATCTTCTTATTTTTATAATTATGGTATAAATGGTAATCTATTGAAATGGTTTAAAAGCTATCTGAATGACAAAAGGTGGTTGTTAACAGTCTTCTTCAAAACTTTGCAATATTTCTGCTGGAGTTCCACAAGGGTGTATCCTCGGACCATTGCTTTTTATAATATACATAAAAGACATTGCGGAAACACTTCATTCTCTCTGCAGACTTTTTGCAGATGACACGTCGTTCAGCTATGCAGATCACGATGCATTGCAGATAGAATCTGTTATAAATCACGACCTGGATGAGCTGAACGAATGGTCTTAAAAGTGGTTAATGTCTTTTAATCCCAATAAAACAGAAATTATGTTATTTTCGAATGTTGATATCCCAGAAATGCATTTAACGTTTCATGAATAAAACATACCAGTAACTAATATTCATAAACGCTTAGGGGTTACATTAAGCAATGATGCTAAATGGAATGTTCATATAATAAATGATAATATTATTTTAAGTGTATCTACACCAGTCCTATAAATATGCTCAGGAAACTGAAATATAGACTTAGTAGAAAAAAAATAGAATAACTATATCTAGTTTTTATAAGACCATTTTTTGAATATGCCAGTGAAGTTTGGAATAATATGGGGTAGGGTTATAGTTATAAGCTTCAGCAATTACAGCTTCAAGCTGCTCGAATAGTAACGGGTTTGCCTTTTTTTACAAGTTCAAGGGTAATTTACAAGGAACTTGGGTGGGAAACGTTGGCTGAAAGAAGAGACAGAAGAAAAATTTAAATGTGTTATAATATTAAACAAAATAATGTAGCGGAATATTTGAGTAATTTTATTCCATCAACAATCCAAAGTCTAACTGTCTATCCACTTCGCAACGGTAGCGATATAATAAATCATTCTGCAGACTCGCATTAAATAATGAATCATTTATTCCATAAACTAAACGTTTATGGAATAACCTTGATGCTGCAACCCGTGATGCAGATCTAGACACAACAGGAAAATTCAATACGAAACTAAAAACCTTAAAAACTTATATATGCCGAAACAATATGAATTTGGATGAAGCAAACTAAATATTATTCCAAACTAAGTTCAATGTTCTTAAATTTTGTGATCTTATTGAGTAAATACTATTTCATATTTAGGTGTAGCTGGGTCATTATAAAAAAAAAACATGCAAAACTATGTTATTTGGTCTTTTAAGTCACAGACATGAAAATATATCAGAATAACACTTGCATATGTTAGATATGGATGTTTGTGATACACTATATACAGTGTACAGTATGAAATGTTATAAAAACATCCTTAATGTTTTCATAAACCCTTGGATATAGCCAGAATTAACTGTTATTTGTTACTATAAATCCTTTCAGACCTGAAATAGGACTATTATTCATATCATTTGTTATAAGGATTTATCACTAATTATTGCATTTTGATACATACAAACATTTTTTAATGATTTGGAAGGTGTATGTTGGTTTTATAATAAAAATTTTCACCAAAAGGAAAAGTCTCATTTTGTAAGTCAATGGTGTAACCAAAAGACAAATTAGTAGGGTAAGAGTTAACTTTCTCAAGATTTCAGCATTTACAATAGTTTCTCCCTTAGCGATGTTACCTGTTAGCATGTTATGCAAAAGAAAACAAACATTTATGTTGAAAATTTAGTGAAAAAAATCTTAAAAGTAAGTAAAAGCTATATCGTAAATGAAAATAGTGTCCATGGTGTACCCTTATAAAAACATTTTTTTGAAAAATTTCCTGAACTTTGAATCATGAAATATATTGATTGTAGAAACATGCACTAGGAACAACATATAAAATAGGGGAATGGAGCACTTATTTTGTAACTAAATCTTAAAATACACCTGTAAATCATTGGTGTTACTGTCAATGGTGAGACCACTTTGATAAAATAACACCATTGACCAGTTTAGTAACACCACTGAATATATTATGACAATCAGCATTTTTTTGTGTTTCTTTCATGTTTAACAAGCGAAACATATTATTTATGAAAAACAATACTTATTTAACAATGTTTTAACAATATCATGTATTAAATATATAAAGTTTTCAAAAACTGGTGTATGCTGGTAACACCAATGGCACTATTTAGTAACACTATTGACATTTTTAGTTATTGATGTTATGTTATATAATTTGAGATTTTTTAGCCTAAGAATTATTTTTTTTCTTTTTCTTTTGCTCGGTGTTCTTGGTTTTGTGTTCAGAACTAAATAAAAGTAAAGTGAAATTTGTTGTCAATGGTGAAACTTTTGTGTCATTGCAGAGATGCAAACAGTTTTTTTTTTCTGTCAGACATTGGGGCCTACAGGGTAGCAAGTTTTGTCAGACCCATCAAATTTTTGCCAGACCTACATTTTTTTATATCAGCTTTTTATACAGCAAGAGAACGGAGATAGGATGTCTTTACAGTGACAGCTGCTTTTAAATTAGTGGATTATTTTTAGAAAATATCTAAAATTCAATTGAGTTCTTTTATTTAATAATTGCTATAATATATTTTAAATTTTTTTATTGTGTACCACTGAACATCAGGCTAGGGCCATTCTCCATTTTTTTGACAGTGCTCTAAGATTTTTAATTGATTACAACTTTCTCAGGAAAGTGAGGACTGAAAAGTCAATTCAGTTTTAAATTTACCTCTTTAAAGTTCCCAGTTACAACTCTCATCACAGGGATACATGTACTTACAAAAATCAATCAGATTAATATGCTGTGTGCAGCTTGTTTCCATATCTTACTTTTTGTTATCCTTGTATATTTTGATATATTTGTAAATTGCATGAATAAATATGTTTAAACTTCAAAAAGCAACATTTGAAAATTTTATGATTTTTTTACCATTATGTTGGTACACAAAATTTTGTTTTAATGGAAGACTACTTTTCATATAATAAATGTCACATTTTAAGTGTTCAGATACATTAACTTTTATTTTGGTGGATAATTACTCATCAATTGAGGTGCTCCTTTATTGGAAGAAGATTCGCAATACAGTTACAGTTACAGAAAGAATGAAAACTGCCGTTTCTCTCCCCAGTCTCATGTATCCTCATTGTTTACCGCGAAAGTTGACTACAAAGCATTGATGTTTGAATCATCTGATCTAAAGCAAACATACTAACTAACTTTAATTAATAAATTTTCAACAAGGCAAAGTTCAATTCCCCACTAATAGGTTAGCACCAAAAATGCTAAATCTTACTAAAATCCTAGAGAACTGCCTGCCAGTCATTAGGTCTTGCACAAAAGCCCAATTTGCCGGACCTGCTCAATTTCTGCCCCCTCGGGCCGACAGGTCCGACGATTAGTTGCATCTCTGCATTGGAGTTACTAAAGGGTCAGTGGTGTTACTATATAAAAATGCAATAATTTTTATTTTTTATTAGCAAATCGGAAAGTGTTTTTAGGTCGTATACGGAGGATAGGCATTATCTAATCATTCAGTCTTCAACATTTTACATATATTCAGTTTAAGGGTATTTTTTAATATAAAAAACGACAATAATTAGGACAGCTAACTTTTATACAACAATTTATTCTTAAATTTATGTTTAAATAGAATGCATGGCTATATGAATAATGTCAATAAGTAGTAATTTAAACCTTAACAACAAATTGGAACAGTTGTTTGATATTTAACAATAATATTTAGTACCTAAATGCATGTTTTAAATTGGTAACACCATTGACACGATTCTATCAAAGGATGACCTAAAATTGTTAAAATTGAAGAAACTCCTCATTTTTCCCATTACATATTTCTGAATATAGTTGCTACCATACCCAGCAAACACACAACATTTTAAAAACATTTTTTAAATGTCATATGGACGTCTCTCACAAAATATTTCAATAAGATATCATTTAAACATAAAAAAAATGTTTATTTTATTGTTTTTGAAATGTTTTATTTCTAACATTTAAGTAAAATGTTTTTACAACATTAACAAAATATTATTTGCTAATATCTTTTATTCATGTTCTCAAACATTGTTCTAAAATATCCCGTAGATATTTTTTAATATAAAAAAAATAATATTTTCTTCAATTGGTATTTTATATTTTAACAACATTTAGAGTAAATATTTTCCAAATATCCAAAAAACATTCTGCAAAAAAATGTTTTACAGAAAATATAGTTTTGCTATTTGCATAAAATGTTTTCTAACGTAAAATTAAAATGTTTTACATAAAACATCTGAAAATATCAGCTAAATGTTTTCTATAAAATATTCTGACATACACATTACTTAATAGTCTTACTGATATTTTATTCAACATTTTACGGATATAAAAATAACATTTTATTTAAACTTTATTCAAAACCCCACAAACAACGTTTTGTGGAATTAGCTCGTTTTTTTCAGGATAAGATATAGTACTACATTTCATCAATATCATGACCAGCAAGATACTATGGTTGAAATCCTTAATTGATATCTTGAAGATCCTTGAAGTCAGATTTTATTCCTTCTTATATTAAAATTCAAAAGAGTCAAAATTAAATTAAGCAATAATGTATTAATAAACAATCACCGTTCTTTAATGTTTATTCATTTCGTTCGTGTATATTTTAGAAATTAAGAAATGAAAACTGTAACTGTACTATTAAAGTTCAATTTTCGTATCGTTTATATGCCTTACGGAAAACCGACCTTTTCCGGAATCGACTTTTGTTTTATCACCGGAAATGATTTTGAAATTTGAATTTCGAAACGAAGACAGTATATCAACAAAGAGCCAAGAAAATTGTTTGTTACGCGATATATACTCACTTGGTAAGAATGATTAATCTGTTAAGATGAAACTTGTGCATTCATTGTGTGTGTTCAATCATAATCGGAACCAAATTACATCTGTTTCTGGAGGTGCGGAACAAGGTTTTGAAAAAAAGGGGCCCCTGCCCAAGGCAAGCAAACGTTTGGAGTGATACTTGTAAATAGTCTATACATTTATCTTATAAGTAGCTCCATAAGGGGGTCGGGGCCCCTAAATCCGCCACTGTTCAAGCATCTACGTACACCAATTATGAATTTGTTCATTGATATAAAAAAATTATAAGGATATGTGGCTTGTGTGTTTGATTGCCTTATCGCTATTTGTCCGCCATTACTGGCCATGGACATCACAAAAGTTCCCGTAAAATGTTGACGTCATATTAGAAAATATTTGACACCACAATTGAAAGTAATACATCTTATCGCTATTTGTCTGCCATTACTGGACATCACACAACTGTCACAAGTTCCCTTAAAATTTTGACATCATCATAAAAAATATCTGATGCCACAATGGAAAAGTGATTGTTGTTTGACGTCAAAAGTTCAAGCAGGATAGATTCTCGGGTCAAGCGGGAATAGCGATAAGGTGTATTATTGTATGACGTATGCTGACGTAAAAAGTTCAAGCGGGACAGATTTCCAGATACTGAAATAGCAATAAGGTGTATGAGACAGCTATCCACCAGAATTTAAATGACTTGGATAAAAGAAATTATAGGTCACTGTACGGCTTTCAAAACTGAGAAAACCAATGCCATATAGTCCACTTTGAAGCCTTGACAAACAAATGTTAAATTTTTCTCAACACAATTGAAACAAAACTAACTGCCTACATTAAATACATACATGTATTATGAAAAAGAAATTTGACAGACTTAAACCAACAACAACTATTGTAATAAGCATGACTCAATACCTTGTTTCCCAGGCACACAAACAAGTTACAATAACACTAATATAAGCACCATTTGAATAAAATCAGTGTATGTATGTATATGCAAAACAGTAAATTAAATTTCCCTTAACAGCTTAATTAACATTACAAAGACTATGTAAGACTTCAGCACAAGCAAGATAATATAAACTGTTGCTTAAAATTATATCTATTGCTTCATACACACAATGGACATACAATGTATCTTTTATTTTTTAACAGGAGCTAAAAGAAAAGCCACAAAGGACAAGTTCAATATGCAGGTTTACAATTTGGAAGTGGTGCAGGTTCTTTGAAATGTCTACAACCTTTCAAGAGAATTTTTTTTTGAAGTAAGATTTTCATACAGAATTACTGTTATTCCATATTTAATTCAAATATTTAGCATAAACAATGCATTACATTCAAGATTAAGGGCATACAGTACAGAAAAGATATCTGGATATTTGAATAAATTATTTTTTTTGTGACAAAATAGAAACAAGTTGTTTATTTAAATCAATCTTTTAGTCCAACAGTGTGCTTTCATAAACATATTTGCTTTCCTTTGAAGTATTTCAAATACATATAAACAACTCATTTAATGACATATGTGTGTTTCTCGGAAGTTAAGTTATATTATTATCATCATTGCGAAAACAATGCGTAACTCTTCGATAAGTTATTATGTGCCTATAGTATACTTCTAGGACTGTATCATATGCCCTTAGATACAAATGACAAGTTATAAACTATGTCACTCTACAGAGTTAAACACTTAAAAAGGACAATAAGATGTTTAATGACATTATGTAGCAGGGGTTTTAAAGGCCCTTACATGATACAATGCATTTAATGAAAACTAAAAATAAACAAGAAAAACAACAGCCTGATTTATACAAAACAATAAAAGAAAAAAAATATGATAGACAACAATCAACGAGTATAATGAAATAAGACTCTCGACTGGACACATATCTAGTCTAAAGTTTTTTATGTGTTTTTTTTTAATAACTAAATGAAGTTCAGCGTGGCATATTGCTCTCTCTTAACACGGTCAGCCATTTATCGTCCCCTTCCGACAGACTATCATCGTTATTTGTTTCAAAACTTTAAAGGGGAGGGGATGTATATCCTTCAGGCAACGTGAATCGTTCTATAATAAAGAATGTGCAAGAAGTTCATATATGAATGTAAGATTAATTTTTTTTTTCAGAAGCATGGCACAGCAAGAAAAAGATATAAGACACTACAAGACATTCCAAGTGATTTTGAATAAGACAATTGATTGACTTTTTCAATGTATTCTTAAATAAATCAAATAGTTGATGTAAAATGGTGTTTTGTTCTCATCTGTTCAGCCAATTATCAATGATTATTGACTTAAGATGTAACCCTATTAGAAGTGTAGCGTTTTAGTTTAGAGGGAGAAGTTGTATTGAAAAATCTGAATTTGGGACACGTTTTAGTCAATGTAACTTGAACTTAAAAATGTGTATAATGTTTGCATAATGTCCAATGGCATATATGTCATGCATGTTCAGGTTGACATATGCATGATGTGTATAGGATAGGTAATAAAAGTTGAGAGTGAAAAACTAAACATTATACCGTTGTGGTTGGAATGTGGGCTTTCTTGCACTGTCTGTCGTCTGTCCACCTATATTTGTCGGATTTTGTCCAACAAATATTTTCATCAAGTGGTGTTTTTCCCAAAACTGCTGATAAAGATGAGTTCATATTTAATGAGCTGCTTGATAGTGATGAACTGTGATGTGTGAACATTTTTGTATCTGGCACCTGTTTCCTGTTTGCTTATACTTTGTATTTCAAAATGTTGAATGTTCTCAAATTTTTCATTACTTTAATTAGTAATGCTGATGAACAGAATGACTTCATATTTGGTAAGTGATGAGTTGTGTCTGCCATTTTGGATGTGTCAAAATTTGTAGATACTTCTTGTTTTTAGAGACTTTGAATTGTGAATTTCATATGCTTAGCAAAACAACTGATTTATTCTTGTTTGTATATAGAATTAATCACTGTGTATAAATTAATTTAACTAATGATTTGTTATTTAAAAAAGCAGGAAACTCAATCAAAAGTACAGACATGTTTTTATTGATATGATCTAGATATCAACCAAAAACATCTTCTTAAAACATTTTGAAAACATTTTTTAGGCAGTCTCACTTGCAAGAAAACATCCAAAAAACATTTTTATAACATTATTTGATGTTCACGATATTTTTCAAACGTTCAGAAAATATTTCTAGAAAATATTTTATAAAAGATTATCAAAATGTTTTATACGCCATTGTTTTTCACATTATCATGATATTTCTTTACAACATTTTAATTATATTATGCAAATATTTTAGAAAATATATTAGAAAACGTTTTAGCGATATATATTCTACCATACATTTAATGTTTTTCTCACGTTTTTTTGTGATATTTTCATGACATTAGACACAACATTTTAAAAACATTTATCGTGAAAATTAGCATGTAATTTCTTTATATCCAGTCAAACGAAAAGACGTTAATCTTTTTAAATTAGTTATTTGGCTTCCAAGTAACTTTTCATTGAACATAGAACTACTAACTTCGGGTATACATCTACTTACTGAGGAGCAAAGGGAAATATCTTTAAACATTTTTAAGAATGTATTAGAGGGTCGGAGATATTCCTTATTGTTTAAATAGAAAAACATGACCACATCGTCATCTAAGTAAAGCTCCTTTTTGATTTTTTGTCCAATTTATACAAATGTTTAAATAATATTTAATGTATGCTTGTTCCTATACATGTATATTGTTTTGTGAAATATGATAAATGGAGAAGACTTCATATACAAGTCTGTGTGAATTATCTCTTATCCGATATGTATTTATGCAAATTTAAGTTTAAACTAGGTATGTATCCCTTCAATCCTTATGATTAAACTAATTTACTTATATCAAATTACATTATACTAGGATGGTATGTAATAAATTTTTATTCTATGCACATATATATTTATAATAAATCCCATTGCACTTTAACTCCGAATATTAATAAAATAATTAGTGGTCGAAATTACTTATATGGAGAAATTATACACTGTGTAATTTCGACCACCCTATTGTCGTACATAAGAAAAAGATATACACAGGGACATGTTTATGTCTATGTATACCTGCTTTACAAATTTTACCTCGATTAGTGGTGTTCCAGGCATTGGAGGAATATACGGAATACAAACATAAACGTTTACATATAAGAAAACCGTATTGAAAAAATAAAAACGATATGAAATGTCAATTTGATGGCGACAGAAAACATGGAAAAAAGAAATGTGTTAATATTTGATAAAAGGAAAGGAAGATATGATAAAAGTTATTATTCAAACAAAATTGCACATACATGTATAAGCATGCAATTATTAAGCTAACGTTATATGATATCAGTGACCAAATTCTATATATTCTAATGGACTTAATTATATATATATACAATGACTACAATAATAAAAAAAAAATGGTTAAAACTATGACTGCCTTAATTCATTTCTTTCCAGAAAATGAGCCAGTTAAAAAGTTAAAGAGAAAGGGAATTAACTGGTGTAAATACTATCTACCAATGGCTAGCTTTACGTAGTCTGAATGACCAATTTGTTTTAGGTACAAACTTTATACAATTTTGTGTGAATAAACGTATTTACACTTTTGGTATTTAGCTATATTTTGCCTCCGAATGACCTTAGATATACCCCAAATCACCTTTTGACGTCAGGCAACAATCACTTTTTAATTGTGACGTCAAATGTTTTGAATTATGATGTCAAAGTTTACGGGAACCTGTGTGATTTTACGTAATGGCGGACAAATTTGCATACAAGTGTAAATACGTCTATTGTGTACAGGCCGTAATATTACCATACAAATTACAAAAATATTAAAGACCATGAGAGTGAGGAAATACAGAGTATTGTTTTCACAGCCAGTAGGACAACCGGAAGCGCCTAGTATTGATTTCGGTTCTCAGTGATACGGTTCACTGGACGACGTTGTCAACACGTAATGGCGGCCATTGTTTGACGTTGGATTTGGCATTCCACGCTGTAAAGATGCATTTATGACATTCTTGGATGCTAAAACTTAATGCCACACAACATAAAAGGTAAAGGATTATTTCAGATATACCGAGTTATTTATTTTCAAATAAGTGGGATCCCAAAAACATGATTTAAACGGCAAAAATACACCTTATCGCTAATCCCGCTTGACCCGAGAATCAGTCCCGCTCGAACTTTTGACGTCATACAACAATCACTTTTCCATTGTGGCGTCAGATGTTTTCTATTATGACGTCAAAATTTTACGGGAACTTGTGTGATGTCCAGTAATGGCGGACAAATAGCGATAAGGTGTATAAAGTGTAAAATTATATGAAACATGAAAATTGAAATCCCATTTTTCATCATTTCCTTTTCATATATTGAATACACTATTTACACCAACCACTGGTGAATTATATTCGGATTTCGGTCTTAGGTATCCGTCCTTGTCTCCGGGAATATTATATACCCACACAAGATGTCAACATCCGTTTTCAAACTGTTCAAAGACAAAGTGTTCTTCACAATCTCGAAATTCTCCCTGGAAAATATTCACGCTATCACTTCGTGCCCAGATAATAGAACATTGTAAACCTCTAACAGCAAATACGGACCAAAATTGATCAAATTTGAAAGCACGGATGCCGACTGTAAGTTCTCTAAAAAGGGGGGTAATTTCTCCCCCAAATACACATGAATTTTGCTGACCGTCTCAAATTCAACTCAAAAGTCCATTATCAAATCAGAGGCGGATTTAGGGAGGGGGGGCCGCCCCCCCCCCCCCCCCCCCCCCCATTGTGGGAAAAATTTGGTTTATTATATAGGGAATCACTGATGCATGGCTGGAGCGGACCCCCTCTTAGGCAGTTCTTCTTCTTTCCTCTATATCTTCCTCCAATAGTTGGAGTACACCAACCTTACTGAATTAAGGTTGGTTAATCCTTATAAAAATTATTAAGTAAATACCTAACTATTTAAAAATAACATTATGTACAGTTAAATCCCTGCAAAGATACTACTAATATAACTTCTATGTACATTAAAAATGGATCACAGTTTAAAAGTTATTAATAAAATTTTTAAAAATAAAAAAGTTTTGAATATTATTTACAGGGCATGCATTATAGTAAAAAAATTTTACATTCACTAAACAATGTTACTTAAAGGTAAAAAATAACGAGTTTTCAGCTTCCTGCCTGCTACATGCTGGAGTTACTACATCTGTCTATGAGCACTACTAGGCGATATAAAATCAATAAAATCATGAATATAAGCTTATATGTCCTAAGCGATCTAATTATGCATAGCCATTATCTATCTGTTATATATATATATATATGTGAAGCTACTGGGTATTAAAGCTAACGGTAAACATGTACATTTATTCCAACTATAGGTATACGGAGTTAAAGAAAGCAATTGAAGGTATAGCGCGGAACAGCCATATTAACCTAAATTAAATGAAGATTTAAACATTTAGATTTTCGCAGCATTTAATTTTGTGTAAAATATTGATGTTAGGTTTAGCGCGGAACACCCACACTGACCTAGTTGTACTGTCGAAGAAGCATAAATGATTATTCCTTAGATTGGAGAAAAAAGCCATATTTTATTTTATGAAGTTGAAGATAGTTGTTTAAGGTATAGCGCGGTACAACCACACTGACCTTATGACAACTAGACATTAAGAAAAGACACTCTTTTTAGATGGAGTCTATAACATAAGTTCCTGCTTAATTCTTCTATTGAATTAAGAAAAAGGTCATCATGAGGGAGAATATTGTTTAGAGCCAGTTGCTGACAATCCAAAATTAGTTGGGCAATACAAGTTCTCTAGTGAAAGTTGGAATTCCAGTTTCCTAGCCCAATTTTACTGATGGTAATTCTTTTGATAACATTTAAAGATTCTCTGCGTATGCCTTCCAGAACGGGACAGCGAGTGAGAAAATGGATGATATCTTCTTCTTCCAGTTGACAAATTGGACAAGTTGCATCAAGGTTAATATTTGAGAAACGAGCTTTCTGTGATTGAAATATATATGTCCCTGTGCATAGCCTTGCTTTTATTGTTGCTTTCCTGAGTTCGCCAATATTTGGTGGTAGACTATTCCAGATAGTATGAGGTTTTCCAATGTCTCAATTAGAGATACAGAGAAATTTTAGTGTTGTTTTGCTATTGGCGTCCCTTTGAAGATTCACTTTCCAGTAGTTGTTTATTGCTTCTCTTGCCTTG